TTGAAGAAAAAGGGAAAAACTAAAGGAAAATATTAAAAGATGCTTAAACCCATTTTGGAAATTTCCCACAAGAGCACTACAAAAAGTCGAATTTAAGTCACGGCTCCAACAGTCCGGCTCCACTTGCTTGGCCTGCGCATATCGTTTCGGTTTTTGCGCAGTCTCAGCCACGTTCCTAATCTCGTATATTCTCCATCTCGAGCAGTGCACGTGAGTTAAGGGGGCCAAGGGACCTGCGGCGGCGCCGGTACAACGGCCATTACAATAAACAACGAAGCGGCGGTTCCATCGCGCTTTGCGTTCGTATCTTCGGATGTCTTTTTGCCATCATTGGTGGAGAAAAAGTCAAACATTTTTTTTGGCTTTTTTTTGCTGCTTTTGGCGCTTTAGTCGCCGCCTTATCCCTTTGGGATTTTTGCGCCATTAACGTGAATTGCTTTTTGGGGAAATTATGTATACCCCGCACACAGAAGCTTTAATGTTTTGTAAATTCACATAAGGAAACCATTATCACCTGAAATATGAAAGCAATTTTCGTGCATCCTTTCGGCTTGCAAGTTGTTGTTGCTGCCTTTTTGCCAGCTCGTCCTTTGGCTCGCCTATCTTCACGCTAGTCCCTGTTCCGGCTGCTTGCGCTTTTGGGATTGGTAATGGTATTAATATTCGAAGAGATTACTAAAGATAGGTCTTATGGTCTTGTAGTAATCAATAGAAGAAATAAAATGACTATTTTTAGAAAAAGTGAACTATTTAAATCTAAGTGAATGAATATGAATTTTACTTTTTATTTTTTTTAATTATGAACTAAGAGACATCTATTTATATTTTTAACTATTGCTTCTACAATGGATTCTCTTAAGTATTGGCAAAAGACAGTGCAAAGAGAGCCAATAAACAAAAGCTAACAGCGCAATATAAATATAAATAAAAAAAACTAATGCGTAATTAAATCAGAGAGAGAAAATAAGAGCATGAGAGGTAGAGTTAAAAATAATGAGGTGTTGAGAAGCGCATAGTTGGACGAATATTGAAATAATTTCTCTCATCCCTTACAGAATTAAAACGGAATTTGTGTTGACTTTTTTATAATTTCAATTTCATTTCAGGGTAGAAACAGGATAGCAAAATGTTGTTGCTAACCGATAAATATGTAACTGGTTAACAGATTAAAATTTCCAGAAAATAAAGGAGTCCCCGAAGCTTGTCTATTTCATCAAGATCTAAAAAATAAAAGCACTTGGATCAAGGTTCGATTAACTATAATATGCTGGTTACATAAAGGTCTTATTTAAAATAGCTGAGTTGACCATAAACGCTGCTCGATAAACACCGACGGCGCATTGATGCCAATTTTCGGGAGCAACAACTTGAAGTGCAGTCGAACAGCTGAAGGCAGCTGCTGGTGTCAGGGTGCGTTTGTTTGCCAACAGCAGGCGAGCAGAAACAGGAGGACTATGGCAACTGCTTCCAACATGGTGGTATCGTGTCGTTGGCGCTATTCCGGTGGCTATAACAATTCTCGTAATACTTCGGGCATCGCCGACTAAACGATAATCGCGCGTAAATGCCCCACTAAAATCAATACAACGACTGCGACGACAATAGCGACGAGGACGAGGTCCTTGGTTGCCACAGCGACTGGCTTTCAGTTTCACCTTCGCTGAGCATCTCCTCATGTTGCCATCCCTTTCAGCCAGAAAAGCAGCCCCGCCAAATATGGGCGGTTATGCACATGCGCTTCTAAGTGCCACGCCGCTTGAGTCTTTCACAAAGTCAGCGCTTTCCTTGAATTGGTTTTCTTTTTGCCAGCTTTGGCCATCGCGCAAGCAGAGCAACTCAATGCAAAATTAAGTCGACTCCTAGAAATCGAGTATATTTTGGGTTTATCAGCGATGAATACACTTATAAGAATCTATGTTGCCGGATTGTTGCTAGTCATTGATTAGTTAAGTCGCAAGTAATTTGCATATATAATTTGACAAACCTTCAACATACGTACGTAGGTACGTAGGCTGTGAATAGCTTGTTTAATATGGAGTTTATATTATATATCGGTACAAAATATTCACAAAGTTTAATAACGTGAAGAGGTAATATTCACATGATAGTTGACAGAGCGTCAGTTAGAAAATTAACTTAATAAATTATTTTGTATATTTGAAATATAATTCAGCGCGATCTAAGTAATTTTCCAAGTAAAATATATATATATATATATATATATATATATAATTGTGTGAATTGACTAAAGCCCAAAATAGAAAACCATTTTATAAAAAAATATATGTAATTAAGTTTAGCATTAAAATAAGCTACAAACATGACTTGAATTTAATTCGTTTGTTTTTTTACTTGAGAAACATAATAAATATTGTAATATGCTATAAAATTGTATGACCATTTATTATAAAAATCTCAATTTATGCCTAATGCAGAATAGAATTTCCTTCTCAACTTTTAACAACTTTAAATATATTGTATGACTTGCTGTTTATCAACTTCACTTAAAACTAGTTAAATTACAATTATTTGTTAAGGACTAATCAAAAATTATGTTTCACACTGAGTGCAAGTCTGAAAGCAACAGCCAGACCAACTGGATGTCAAATTAAACGAGCAACGACAACTGCACAATCGCATAAATACTAATTTGCATTTTGTCGAATGATTTAGTTGCACATTAAGTCCAATTAATGATGGCTACTCAGTCCGACTCTCTTTTTGTTTGTGCAGCTCATTAAAATATATGCGAAGAAAATGAACTGCGGAATTGTAAGTGTTTAGCAACCTGCACAGCATCTACTTAGCTACACTTTAACTGAATTGAAAATGCATTTATTAATTAATTAATTAAATAAATGCATCTGCGTCACCTGTCGCCGCCATGGGATTATCTCTAAGCTTAGTCCAGTACAAGAACCTGCCTTAGCCTCGGCCGCAGTCTCAGAGTCCATAGCAGTCGCAGTCGCAGTCGCTGTTGCCGCTTCCCACGAGCTGCCCGCGCATGCAAATCGGACCAGGGCCAAGCAGTTGACAGTTTGTGGCCGCAGCTGAGCGACAAATATACGAGTGGCCATAAAAATAGTTTATGACTTTTAATTACGGGCTCAGCATGAGGCCGTCGAGTGAGTCGTCGTCGTGGCAGCGATTGCTTCTGAGCAGCAGCCATGGAACAGCGGACCACGGGCAACAGCCAATGGTAGAGCGCATCAGGAATTAACGCGGGTTGCGAGGCCAGTTGGCCAGGAGAGTGTGGCAGCCACTCTTTTGTTTTGGCCTGGTTATTTATTGCTTTTTTAAGCCACCATTTTTTTCAACAGTGCCTGCGCCTTCTTTGTAATTTCTTTAAATTATATCTCAATTCATACCCGACAATAAATAAACTTGATAAATTTCTCATTTTGTTTACCTGCCCCGCTGAGTTCCTTCGCATGGTTTGAGCCACATCGCCATGTTGCCAGCTGCCATAAATAAATGGACGACAGTGCCATGTGCGCAGCAGCGACCACGACTGGGGCTGATTAAAATGTTCGGGTCGAGTTCCTTGATCATTAATTAAGAATGCGCCTTGATCGCTGCGCTGGCGATGCAAATGATACAAGAAACTGCATTAAAAATTGTAATACCACGGACGCAAACGGAAAAAGAATGACGAGTGTACGGTGGCATCAAAAAAAAAGACTCAAATTTTATTAAGTTAATTTGTTATTCGAGGCATTCGCTAATTGATTTGCAATTAAAAAAACAATTTAATTTTCGAACAAAAGTTTTAATTTGAATTGATGCAAAAACAGATATTTTATTTATTTATAATTACAATTGAATTAAATTATTTGTGTAGTATTGTTTTTTTTTCTTTGGAGTTAAAAATTATAATTTTAATACCCTGTTAAGGCACATAAATATATAAAATACTTTTAATTTAACGAATATTTGGAAGATATATTAACAAATGAATCAATCGATTATGCAAATTATTTATAAAAAAAAATAATTCTTATTAACTGGGCAAGGAACATGCAATGCGGCTTATAATTTTGTATTCTGACTTTAGCAATAAAGAATATTTTCTAAGAGGTTTTTAACATATATAAAAACTTGAAATTTGTTCGTTTTATTTTTTAGTTATTAATAAATTTTCGCTCGTTCCTCTAGCAGCTATATGTATAAAATCTTAGTACATATTCAAGTTCCATATCCTCTAGCTGCACACTCCATCAGACTAGCCAACGATTTTTAGGGGTTCGCCCCATCAGAGAGATAAGTGGGAGAACGTTTTCCCAAACACGCCTCCCCAACAACCATGCCCACCCACCTACAGGTCGGCCGCCTGATAATTTAATTCCATAAAATATATGAATAATATACAAAATAAATAAATAAACAATGTAATTTGTGAAAGCTTCTTTAGGGATAATTTCGGCACACCGAAGATTTAATATTCTTGATCACATTTCAATTTTGCAAATATGTGCGAATAGTGAATCTTGAAACTGCTGAGTTCGATGAAAATAAATTGGAAAACATAACATTTTGTCACATAAAACCTACTTTTATATAAGTCAGATATATCTTTTATGACAGCTATGTATTGATCTGGACCCGATGTCGATAAGAACTAACGAATATATAGGTTTGGGTAAGATATCTGATAAACAAGAAATTTTTCAATGCAAGAACAATTAACTGATCGGCCCAATGGCAGCTATATGTTATAGTGGTCCGATCCGGCAGGTTGCTGCCTGTGCATTGCCTGCAACAGAATGAGGGCCCTATGCACAGTTTCAAGACGATTTCTTTAAAACGGACTGCGGACCACACGGACGAACGGTCAGGCAGGCTATATGGCTAGATGATCTAGGCTGTTAATCCTGCGCTAGGATATATACTTCATAGAATACCCTTTACAAGAGCTTAATAATATATTAACATTTTCTATTAACTTCGACCTAAGCAGGCATGTGCCTATTAATTTTAAATAAACAAAATAATTTTTTTTTTTAAATTTTTAACACATTTATTTTTAATTAATTTTTAAAATAAAGACATTATTATAGTCTCGTCAATAGGCGAGATGCAACCCATTACGGAACCGAGTACAAGCGTCACAATTGAGTCAAGGCGACAGGTACCCTCGATCATTCCAGCAACTAACAAGGCTGGACACCAGTATCTGGCCGGGGCAATTAGCAATTTTGGCGTATTCTGTTTTGGCACCACAATCGGCTGGACGAACGTTGGACACAATTTGGTAACTCAGAAGGCTCACAACGTTAAGCTGACGAAAGATCAGTGGGAATGGACTAATTCGATGCTGCCCCTGGGTGCTGCATGTTTCTGCATGCCGATGGGTGTATTGATGAAAATGTATGGCTGCAAGCCCGTCATGCTCTTTCAGTTGTTCCCCTACGTCTTAGGCTGGAGCCTACTCATTTTTGCCAAAAACGTTTACATGTTATATGTGGGTCGCTGTGTACTGGGCATCTGTGGCGCCGCACTCTGCGTAGCAGTGCCAGTGTACAATGCGGAAATCAGCCGGCAGCATCAGCGTGGGGCCATGATCAGCGTGTTCTATGGCGCCCTTGTCTACGGCGCAGTCTTTAATAACATTATGGTCGAGATCCTTAGTATAAAGTACGGCAACGTTACCTGTACGCTGATGGCGCTTCTCTGTCTCTCCGTTACGTTTATACCCGAATCGCCGAGCTACTATGTCTTACACGGACAATTAGAGAAGGCTCGGACCTCAATGCGCTGGCTACGCGGTGATAAATATGATATAACTACAGAGCTAGAGTTGCTAAAACAGACGATAAAGAGAAACAATACGGAACTGCATCAAAGTTGTTGGGTCTTCATGCAAAACAAAATCAATCAGCGCAGTGTCCCCCGGGCAACTATACTTTTAATGCTGTATCATGTGTCCGGTGGCGTTATCATCATGGGCCACATGGGGGATATACTTGTGCAGATGACCGATTCGAGTTTCAATATCTATGTGATGTGGCTGTGTGTGTCCATGTGTCTGGGCCATTTAATCTGTTTGCTGACGGTCGATCGCATTGGTCGCCGTTCGCTGTTGCTGGTCTCCTCGGTGGTCATGTTCATGACTTCGCTCTATTTGTGCGTTTGGTTCAAATGGATGCGTGCAGAGTCATGGCGCTGGCCAGCTTTGCTCTCCCTATTCATTTTCATTGCATCGTTCTCAATGGGCTTTGGTCCGGTCGCCTGGATTCTCTACGTCGAACTTATGCCAGAGCACATGCGGCCGTTTGGCTGTGCCCTCGCTGCCACAATAAGTTGGCTGTTCGCCACCCTGCTGAACATTGGCTACTTGCTCAGCGTGGCCCATTTTTCAATATTCTATTTTATGTTAATTATCTGCATGCTGGGGCTATTATTTGTCGTCATCTTCATACCGGAGACCAAAAACATAACATCAGACGAGGTACAGCAGTTAATGAAGCGGGGTGCATTCAATGACGAACATTCTAGAGATGATTCATTTTAATGACGCTTTACTAGTAATTAAATTAATGGTCAGTTAAGGTTATATAAGCTCCATTTTTGAATTGTCATTAACTGTCATTTTTAGTTTTGTACGTATAGATAGTAAAATTCATATCCATGATGTTTAAATGAGTTTACGTTTTATATTGTTTTCTATTTTCCGACGATAAGTTAAATTGTCTACTGCATCAGCAGTAACCTGGCAGCTGCAAATATTTCAAAGGGCCCCAAGTCCTTTGGCCAACAATCAGACTCACATGTAACTGTATCTGTAAGTGCACATATGTATCTGTATCTCTGTCTGCGTGAACTTCTGGCAAGTGCAAATATTTATGCGTATTTGATAGCACTAATGGGCCATTAAATGCGTACGCAAATATACACACGCACTGCGAGTGTGAGTGTGTGTATGTGTATGCGTACGTTTCTCTAAACGAGCTTGTGTGGGTGGCAAGGATGAAAATGTACCTAAGCGAATCTAAATGGCATCAGGGGCACCGAACATGCAAAATCATGTACTCGTAAATCTCTTTAATGCCAACGGCCTCCGGCCAGAAAGGGCACCGGTGAGGAAGCGGGTGTGCTGTGGGAGCCCGGTCCTGGGTCCGACTACGACCCGCCCACACGCAATCACGTGGTAGACGCTTGTTTACTCCCGACCGAAAGAAGACCTTCAGCATGAGGTTGGGTTGCTTGCGTAATGAAACTGAATATGTGAATGCTGCGGACGGGAGTATGTGTGTGTGTGAATGTGTAAGGTGCTTTCGAATACGTATTACGTAACTAACGAAAATTAACGTTAATAGCTCTGAGTATCAAAATAATGGCAGCAGCTCCGCTGTCTGCTGCCTGTTGGCCGTCCTCTGGGCTCGGCCGCGTTTTGGATTGGATGGGTCGACATTGGAGCAGGAGCTGTACCAGAAAAAGGGGACTGGAACAGGAACAGATACGGTGGCAGGGGCTGTCAGCCATATAAATTGCACAAACTCATTCCGGACTTAGGCAAAACGTGAAAATATTGTTATGACCTCTTGTGCTGCTTCTTATGCTCTACCCCCTAGACTCCAACCCCCAATCGAGTTTACTGCAGCTTCGGCAGATTCCGCCCATCGAAATAAATTTGATTTTAGTCGAAAAATTACGATATTCGTGCACTTAATTGAGAAAAGTGAAGCAGCTATTTTTAATGATGTTGTGTTTCTCGAGAATATCATTATTTGATAGCCGGACTCATTTTAATATATTTTATTAAAGGAAGTGAACTATTTCAGCTAAAATTTCGTGTAAGCTATAAATATTATCAAATAATATTTCACCAATCGGTGAATATAAATATAAATGTACAATCTGATAACAAATATTTAAATAAAATATTACCCATTTCCCGCCCGTAGACAATTTATATCTTAAGTTTCATTCCTTATCGATGCTGGAAAAAGGTTTAAAGCTCATTACATAAAGAACCAAATGTCGAAATCAACCAACATTTTAATCTTTTGGTGAAAATATTGAAGCCGAAAAACGAAGTTACGTTCCCTTAACATTTTACACGCATAAAACGTATCATATCAATTTTAACAAATGAGTTAAGGGCAATCCGATGGTAAATAAAATTCTTGCTAATCGTCCAACAATTTACCACAGATTTCAAAATCGCTTTATATTATGTTGTTATGTAGGACTTTGAAACGAAGTTTGAAGTCAATTAGACAAGGCTTTAAATTAAAACTTGAATTCTGCGAGAATGTGAAATAATCTTCAAATGATTTTCCAAAAAGATCCTTGAAAATTAACTTCATTTATAATTTTCCAATTTCACTAATGGACGAGTTGGTTTTCCTAAAAATGTAAAACACTTCTGAAATAAATAAAAATAATAAATAAAGAAATAAAAATACGTTTAAAGTGCATCGAATAAATAACCAAATGTTTGAATCAAAGGATTCTGCACTTGTTATTCTTGTGTTAAGAATCTTGACGCCGAACAAAAAACTTGCGTTTATTAAATCTCTGCGAAGGCGTGTTAAAAAAACATATTTATAGATATAAGCAAAATATTTCATGATACTTTTGGTTGACAATTAGTATAGTTATTACTTAACGCCAGGTTCAATTAAGTTAGGCCAAAATATATTTCCAATACAAATGTTTTTTCAACAAAATTAAAATTTCAATTTAAAATCGGAATGCCGAACGGTCCTGCAGAGCCCCCTTGCACTCGGTCCAATACTTTGCGCACTTTGTGTGCGTATGTCGTTAATTTTTATTGGACAGCTTTTGAGATCCTCCTCGCATCGAAATCGAATGAAATTCAGTTCGTTGTGTTGCTTGTTGCTGTGGCCGATATGGTCTCCGGGGACGAGTGGGCCGAGGGCTGAGGGTTGGTAATGGAACTACTGTGGGCATGGAGCTGGATGCGATATGCGTTCGTGTTTGTGTTCGACGACGACCAAAACGCAATAAGCAGTTAAAAAATACTCGTAATTGCAACGGGAAACTCCCATGGTTCATGCCCCATATGAGTTGTTATTGTTGTTGTTGCTGTTGTTATTGTCACTGTTGTGGAACGTGCGCAGTGGCATCGACAATGGACAAGTGGAACGATACTCGGTGGAATCGTTTCAGTGAAAATTCATGCATGTTAAGATGAAATTGCTTCGCGAGCTGCCTGCCAAGGATTCTATGCATATCAGTGGGCAATACCACGGATAGAGTTTTGCGAGCCATTTAAAACAACTTTAAGAATTTCTGCTTTAAGGCTCAGCACTTGGAAAATGTTTTAAGTTGGCAAGATGGAACAAAGGAGAGATGAAAGTATCCACTCTGATGTAAGAATAAGTTGAAATATTATTATTATGGTTCAGTTAATGTATTTTTTCTAAAATATTAGCACCATTGAAGTAATTCCATAAAAAGAGCAAAACGTGTGGGCAACGCGGGCATTTTACACAATTTATACATTCAATATATAAACTCACAGTTCTTGCCTTGATCCTTGTATTCTGGGAAGTTTGGTTTTTATAATAGCATATGGTTGAGATAAAATTAAGTTACGAATATAAATTTTAATAATTAGTTATTGATTGATTTCATAAACGATTATTGATTTCTATAACGCTTTTTTTAGTGTATATATTCTTTATAGATGTGGTATAACCTGAGACCGAACATAACCAAATGTTATGCATGCAATTTTCACATGGAAAACCAATATGAAGACATTGCTAAAAAAGTGTCTTATGTGCGCTAATATATTTATTTAAACCTGATCTTTTGAAACCTGCAATAATATTTTATTTAGAAGTTCAATACGAGCTTATTTGTATTCTATATATTAAAACTTTACACTTTTCAAAAATCCGTTGCTCCTTGGAGGAAATGGGAGTTAAATTTTCGGTTGGTGGCCTTTTGCTTTCAAATTCGTATCCATTGATCTACATAAAAAAATAATTTTTTGTGAATTTTAAGCTGTGTCCGATTTGCATCAAACTTACTTTCAAAGCTCTACATAAGAATTTAATGAATACGTGTTTCACCGATTTGGGAAATTTCACTCGCAACAGTGTTAAATTGGCGAAAAACTTGTGTATGAGAGTAGTTTGTTTACCGTTCGCTCAGTTTCAAAATCATTTCCAAAGCTTTTTGAGAAGATTGATTTTATAACATAAGTGAAAGCGAGCAAGGCCGGCCTATACTCGCTAGTCTAGTAAATTTACGCAACGTTACAATTATTGGCCATCCTAAGCTGTCGTTAGTTATTTCCTAGCTTCTCGGAACAGGGAAACAAAGGCTGTCAGTGCATCTGGAATTCGACCATATCCGTTCATCTTTCGCCATGCTCTTTTTGTTTAAGTTTTCTTTTGGTCCCTTCGTTATTGCCATAATATTGTTTGTCCGTGTGCGGACCTTAGCGTAGCTCCTTTTGTTATTCCGGCTGCTGCTGCCTTTGTTGCTGTTGTAGTTCTAATGGGCTAGTGGCAGCAGCAACTCTGGACGCTGCTTGCCCTACGCAGCGTTGCGCAAAATGTTGCCCAAATGGGTTCATATTTCGACGTTTAATGTAGCGAAAATGAAGCAAGGATTTATGAAATGCGCACGTTGCCCCCGCGGGCCGTCGACTAATATCAAAATGGATGCTAGCACCAAGCGACGGCCAAAGTGCAAATCAAAAAGCAATTGCATTATTAGAAACTATACGAAATCACAGGGGCGTATTAGAAAAGGCGAGTAACTCAATTGAATGGCGGGTGGATTGTCTAGAGTCTAGACATTGGTGCCGTACATTTTGCATTGTCTGCAGCAATTAGGATTGAGTAGTTAAATACTAAAGATGCGAGCCTTTGGCAAGTTTTTCATATATTCCCCTGAAAGTTGTCAGGTGGTAGCCGGTGGCTTTAATGGGCCATAGGAAATGATGAAAATGCTATTCGAAGCTAGCTTAAATATGTCTAATCGACTGTTTTGGGCACTTGACGGCAGCCGTTACCAATGTATACACAGGCGGCACTCCTGGGACTCCCTGCCGTTCGCCAGGGATCAAGTAAATTGCGAAAACTATGTGCAAGATGGGCTGTTATTGCTGCAAAAACGCTTGTAATGATGACTCTAAGTGCCGTTTCCTTGAGTGTATTACCTATAAAAAATTTATACAAAGCTGCTGCCAAATTACCCGGACACGAACCGAGACAGCCGTGTTGATGCCACCACCAAACAGGCTACATTGCCCCCCCTAACCAAATAGATACAACAACAGGCAGTTGTGCAATGCCAATGGCAGCCACCTCATCAACTTCACCTTTGCCCTGAGCCCGGCTGCCTGCGATAAGGCAGCGTCTTCGCCGGGCGATAAAATGCAACATTAAATTGCTGATTTTTTCTTTCTATTCTGTGTCTCGAGCCTGGGTCGCTACTGGAGACCCTCAAGTGGCAGCAGTTCATTAGGGTGGCACTTGCCTTGGACTGGCAACCGCTGGCAATGCATATGAAAATATTTCTAGCAGGGGACAAGCCGCATAAGTGGCTCTATGCCGGGATTCTGTTCTGATTGCGAGATTCTGCATAAGAAAACAAATTATTTTTGTAATTACCATTCGGCCCAACTTGAGTCGTAATCGAAGGAAAGATTTAAATTATTTATAAGATAAAATTTGGTAGGGATATTGAAGAAAAATATGTTTAAATTATTCAAAAAATTTGAGAAAGTACGTACTACTTATAAGTATTATATTTATTCATGTTTTATTTAGTTTAATTTTAATTTGATCATTGGAATATTAAAAGAAAATTTCGCAAATAATCAAAAAAAAAAAAAAAACAAATGCTATAATAACTATAATAACAACTTACATGTTTATATTGTTGTGTTATTTTCTTTTTTTAACTTAATTTGACTTGAGTTTTCGCTCTTAACTCTTCGTTAGCAACTAATTCCCATTCGAAAGTAAGTAGAAAATTAGAAAGATCCAACAATTTGCGATGTAAACCGCTTTCTGCCTCGCCCAATAGTTACCCGCTGAGCCATCCCTCGGCGCTCGTAGTTTATGTTTACGAAGAAATTAAAATAAACGCCGGAATGAGATTTATGCATTGTTTGTATTAAGCCGCTGTCCACGCGAGACACCAGCGCCATCAAAGAAGAACAACAACAACAACACGAAAAACATCAGCAAGAAGCAGCCCAAACCAACCACCGCTTGGACTCTGTCGGGCGGCCATCACGACTATGTGGCAGCGTAAAGCGCAATTTCAAGCCATTCGGGGTGATATCCATAATGGTCGTCGAACCAGCGACTGCGTCAACCGCCCGCTTTGTGTTTGCTCACACGCGCCACCAACTTCAGGCGGGTGGTTCGGTGTCTGCTGCTGCTGCTGTTGCTGCCACCGGATTTAAATTCTAATCTAAGAGGCACAATGGCGCAGACAACGGGGCGAGCGCGCAGAGCGACGCTCCGGCTGCGCACTTATCCGGCATGGCGGTAATAGCTTTATCTGCCGACAGAATTATGGCCAGCCGCTTGATTCATGATCCGACATTGTGGACTTTGTTGCGCCTTTGTTGCTGCTCGTTCCATTTGCCGTTTCCGCCGCCCTTTCACGCGTCGCTGTTGGGGGTGAGCGGAGCACCACCCTCATGGGGCGCAGGAAGCTCCAGGGCTGCCACTGTGAAGCTCAGTTCTGAATTGGAATGGATGCATTGGCTATGGATGTGAATAAAGTACAGTGGGCGTCATTATTATATAACCAGTGTAAATTTAAATAAGAAACAAGTGAAATTTATAGCATGTTCATAAAGCTTATACAGATAAAGTAATAGATATATACTATATTGTATTATCATTATTTTTATATTAATTTAATAATTATATTTATTATTATTATTAATATTTTTATTATTATGTTAATATAATAATAAGTAAGCAAATTATGATTCTACAGGTTCTCTACTTAATAATAATAAAACAAGTAAGAGGTTCTAGTCGGGAGCTCCCGACCCGATACCCTGAACCCTCTTCTTCCAACATCAAAGGCATATATACATTCTATTTAGAAGCTATATGTCACGTTTGGGGACTCTAGCTATTATTATTTACCAAAATTGCCCAAAAAACAGGATATCGGTATCGATTTTGATCGATTGCTTGGAAACGGAGTAAGTTATCGGAAACAAACTTGATCTGCGCAGGCACTAAGAGCACCTACATCTAAAATTTCAAGTCTATAGATCTTATATATTCTGAGATCCTTGCGTTCATACAAACGGACGGACGGACGGACGGACGGACAGACAGACGGACATGGCTAGATCGACTCGGCTATTGATGCTGATCAAGAATATATATACTTTATGGGGTCAGAGATGCTTCCTTCTGCCTGTCACATACATTTGGATTTTGCACAAATACAATATACCCTTATAGCTATTTTTAATGGGTTCAGGGTATAAAAAAATAAAATTAATTAATTGTAATTGTTATTATTTGATTTTTGTTGGCTTGGCTTCGCTTTGTCGGGCTGTTTGTTTTCTTCTTTTTTTCCCAGATCCTGAGATATATACTTGAACATATAAATATGCGTACCACTGTGCTGCCTATGAAAGCTCTCTGATCGACTATGAAGCTCGACAGGCAGACAAGGTACGGGCTGATGTTTCGTTGCAATTTTTGCTATCTGCACGCGCAACAGAGGAAATCCTGTTTGCAATGGAAGACTCCTTCTCCAGGAAAGGCTGCTTGGACACAAAACATGAACACACACAAAACCGACTCTTGATACGGACCGGCCACATGGAAAATCGATATACACAACAATATGGCGGGGCCTCAGTAGTAGCAGGCGGGGTTTGGAAATGAGATTTGGTTGGGGATAGATCTGGGGTTGTTTGTTTAATTTTCCGCAGCACAAGTGATGAAAATCTATTGAATGTGTGCCCATACCGGAGTTTCCGTCATTTTGGCTGCGCACTGTGAAAATATTTATTCAGTGCAGCGGCTCAGCTGCCGGCGCGGAGTGAAGCGGAAGTTCAGCTCAAGACCCAAAGGCAATGACGATGAAGTCGATGACGATGATGAGCTGGGAATGGTGTCTACAGTGGCTACAATCCTGCGCGCCGAGAAATGGCTTGTCGAGAGCAGGCAGGCGAACACGACCAGGCCGTGAATGATGCGCACTCGTTTAAATTGCCATTTAATGTCAATACAATGACAGTTATTTTAATTGTGTTTGGGTGTTGAGACAATTTATGTTATGGTCGTAATTGTTATGGCAAATGTGTTGCTTATTGGATGTGAGTCCATATTAATATTACGGTATATGAATATGCATAGCAGCTACTTGTCAGATTAGGAGGAATGTCAATATATAGAGTAATATTTTAGTTAAATGTAAAATATTTTAAATAAAATATATAATTTTAAAGATAAGCCATAATATTGTTTGATTGAAAAAAAAATAGTGACTGACATTTGCCCCACGCAGATTATTCTTCAAGTTCCACAGTTTCATGGCAGTAACACTGAAAATGTTTAGATTTTAATTATAACTATCAAAAACTTGTAAGCAATGATTTAAAGCTTACTAAAAAAGAGGATAACAATGTTGAAGATATATCCCAATAATATATGAGCTGTTTTAACAGTACAATTTGGTAACTTTCTTATACTTTATAAATGTTGATCATCATCAATATTCGTTCTGAATATAAAAAAGCCAAATTATTATTATTAGTATTACGAGTTACTTTAATGAGCACAAGTTGGTATCAATACACATATATAATAGGCGAATAACTCCCCTCGTTTCAATCTTATGTTTGGGCCCGAAACCGTCAGCACAAGCAACTGCGCTCCCGTTGCCAACGCCAAAAACCAGTTTTTGGTCTCCATGCACAGATTGGGCAGCCCGGGAGAAGGCTGGTTAGCTTGTGTGTGGCAAGGAAGGTCTCCCTAGCTAGCTCCACATGCGATCCACAGGCAGTATATCAACATCAAAATCCACAGCGTATATATACACATGCACACTCGTAGCCTGAAGCTCACGTTTTAAAGTTTGTGTTGAAACATAGTGGAAGGGGGGAGAGGGGGCATTGCTTCATGACCGCCGCGTAGTGCACTCACATGCCGCTAGATGGCGCGCGGGTCAATTTAGTGGAATTAATGGAATTGGAATTCATGGCGCGGAAATTGAATTTATGCGCCTCGCTGAGCCGCGCCGCCGAGCCGCCGGGCAATCGGATTTTAATGCGTCATTGAACGCTTCGAAATGGCTGCGATTTTGTACATTGGCATTGGCAAATGCAACGGGCCCCAACGGGGCACCAACCAACTCCCGACAGGGCCAAAAGTTTGTCGACTATAGCGAAGGCAGAACTGTACAATACCCGGCTAAAAGTCACAAATACCGAAAGGGGCGTACTACGGAATGGCAGTACGAGTAATTAAAAACACGTTTGTCCTTTTGGACGCTGTCCCGAGCCCAAACGAAGCCCAGGAGCACAGCCATTAGATAGCAACAAAAGTTGCTCGCATTTCTCGCATGCCGCTGCTGTTGCATGAGAAAAGTTGAAAATAAACTTTGTGGCATGAAAACAAAAACAGAACAAGAACAAACAAAAACAAGAACACATTCACATTCACATTCACATAACTTCATGATGTCAACTCTCCTGTTTGGTCTCACATTCGCTTGCTGCTTGTGTCGCTTCCCCGCCTTTGTTTTGACTGTGGTCCCGTTCCTGTTGTTCCTCATGCCGACCAACTGGGTTGATTAACGCCAAAAGAGCACGAAATATTCTTGTTTTGGCCACGTTGTGTGACCGATTCGGTAAGTGGCAAGAAAAAGATTTGAAATATGCGAAAAGTAAAAGAAAAATGTAATATGACTATGAAAACGATCGATAATTAGGAAACGGGATCTCAAGGTGGCAGCAGATATGTAAATTTATAATAATATGTAATTGACTATGGCTCATATATTAAGAGAGTAACTTGTATTATATAAAGTACAATTATGATTAAAAATCCATTTTGACATTTGGAAGATTTTAATTAAATAAAATTAAATTTTGAGGCAAAAAACTCATTAGTAATTATTTCTTTTATATATACTGATTAACTTATATTTAAATATTTAAATCGCTTAAAGCATACTGTTTAAAATCTTTCAGTTTACTTTTTATAATTTTCGCAGTTATTATCTTAAATCCAATTGAACACTCGACACTTGAGCTTATGCCAAGAACTTGGCTAAGAAAAGATTTTTGGCAAAGTGGTAAATTGTGCTGTTACGGACAGAATCCGGCCTCTCCCGCCTCTTGGGCCGTCGCCAAATTGTGCAAAGTTGCGAACTTTATACGAATTAATTTGTTCAACTTTTGCTGATATATGGAATAGAAACGGGGAGGTGAGTGCGTTGCTGTATGACCGTTAAGACCGCAATAAACCCACATGAGCCCTGAAAAACGATGGCGAGTGCCTGGGCCGAAAATCCAATCTCGCAAATCACATCGATAAAGCGCCAAAGGCACGCAACCCTTTCGACCGGCCCATCGAGTTGAAACTCACATACTTATATGGCCGCTATAAGTCCGCTTTAATTACACGTTACAGGGCAACCCTTCGGGCCGGTGCGATGCTGAGATGCCCACCCACAATGGCCGACCCGGGGTGGAGAACGGGGATCGGGATCGGGAACGGGAACGGGAACTCAACGACATGCGACACAATTAAGCATTCATGGACCAAGGGCTCCGGTAAGCTTAAATTTTGACATTTAGTTGTTTGTTTTGGGTCGCAGGGACAGGGCGACAGATATGGGCGGTCGGACCGTAATCAGACACACGTCCTGTGCCTTTTTGTTGATCCTGGCGACCATTTTATAATGTGTATATAGCAGCTTAGTGCACCCCGGAGACCCATTGCCGCCGGCACTAAACAATTTTATCATTTTTAATCATCAAAGTGGATATGGCAGCCCTGCCCCTTTGCGACGACACACAGTCGGATTAAAAACTCATATTAAGTTATTATCGGACTGCCAGATATTAAAACGGTAGCTGGGTACAGTCCAAAGCTCGCGTCGATTTGCGACAAACAGTTGAACATTTCATGAATATCCGGTGAATGCCTTGAACTCTGACTGCACTCACTTTAGCGCTCGGTGTCTGTTTAAAGGCATTGTCGCTGCCAAATAAAAATTCATTTGCCAGCGGAGAGAAAATATCTCAGCGTATGTATAAAACATTGTCTGCCCGGGACGATGGGCACGACTCGGCACTTGGAACAAAGGATTGCTGCCAAATTGGTCTTGGCCAGGCAGCTGAGCTCTGTACACTCGGCCACGGCAGTGGGGCTGGGGGCCAGCGCTCATGGTTAATGCATGATTTAATGTAATTTGGACGTTTGCACGCATTCGCCAGTCGCCATCATGGTTGTTGTTGCTTTTGGCTTGGGCAGCCAATTTGGCAGCGCATCAACACGCCATTTGGGAACCAGCGTCAGAGCCAAAGAGACGGAGACGGAGATGAAACTGTAGCTGGAATTTGGCGCAGGTGCGGCGGTGTGTTCGGTGCCAAGTCACTGTCTCAGCTGGGGCATTGCGCAAATTTCCATTAATGGTTACATCCTTGGTGGCAAATTGGAATCAGTTTCAGCGGCACATAACTCAGGCCAGACGGCTACTTAAATGCCGTTTATAGCGTTGCGCTGCCTGAGTAGAGATGCCTCCACTTCGATTGTTCGTGCCCCGCACTGCCTCGCCCCACCCCCATCCATAAAATTCCGCAAGGGCTCATGTGCATTAAAGGGCCATTGTTATGCCCATAGCACGGATAAGCTAATTTGTTAGGCTATTGCCTGAAGCTGGAAATTACCTAAGCAATGTTGAGTGCTGAGCGATGTTCCAAATATTCATTATTTACACCCCGCAGTAAACCAAGTTTGAGCATAGTTTACCATGCAAAAACGTACGATTACATTTAATACATTGTTTTTATTATAAAAGTTAGTTTATTATAGAAAAATATTTTAAGTTATACTGTGTATTTTAGGCTGGTCTTATTTTATTATCAGAAAAGGTTTGTTTCTTAAAACAACTACAAATGATTTACAAATGAAAATAAATAAGAATCGAGTTGGTCGTGCCGAACTATCATATACCCGGTACCAAGCCTCATTGCTTTAAAATATTTGAAACATCTATAAACATATGAACTTTCGTTGCGGCTGGGCTTCGCTCTGTCCTTCAGTACAAAATTATAGAGAATTCTTCCCCTACATTTTCTTAACCTGGCGTCGCTGATTATTTAAGATCAATGCATTTGTCCTGTCAGACAAATGGGCATACTGACGGACATGGGTTGATTAACATGGATGTTGATGAATAAGAATACATTTATTATACGTTTTTGGAGATGCCAGTTACTTAGCAATAAGTACAGGGTATAATTCATCGCTCTCATCTGCATATAATATGCGAAACTAAGCAGATCATTAAGTTATATAACTAAAATATTCATAGAAAGGATTCGTGTGTAAGCATTCAAAGGCTTGTTTATATTTTATTAAATGTTTTACTTAGAACATTTTTGAACACACATATTTTATTCAGCAATTCAATTCTTAGTCTTGGCAATTGACTGCACTTTGGCACTTCCATCTACTGCAAATTCTCACTCCTGCAAACCACATCGAGCAAAGACAAGTTTTGTGCACTTAATTGCCATTGCCATTACTGGGGCCATGTCCCACGTGCCAAGCAAAGTAAAAGTTCTAGATACAAACGTCGTAATTGCAACACGTTCAACGTATGCCCGTTAGGTCCATTAGGTGTACGAGTGGTATCTGTATCCGTATCTGCAGGCATGAGTGCGCCTGTTGTGACTCACAATTTTAGAATTAAAACCCCAAATGCATAAATTGCCGTAAACCGCAAGAAACTTTGGCCGTGCCTCGACTTTGGCCTGGCCTGAACCGGCTGCCAGGGCTGACTGGGCTGACTGCCAGCTTGGTAGCCGCATGCGGAGCGTTGGCTCCTCCGGCGCACCGACAACAGATGGAGACGCTGTCGAAGACGCCGGCACAAAAAGTTGCTTAATTTAATGTTATTTGCGTTTTAGCATATAAAGAATTTTGTGTCTTAATCTTTTGACTTTGCGGCGAACCCGTGCCCAAGCCCGAGCCTGAGCCTGAGCTTGAGCGTACGCCTCTGATGCTTTGAATATGCTAGTGCTATTTATGCCCCAGACGTGAGCTAAGAGTCGAAAAAGAGAGAGAGAGAGAGAGAGAGAGAGAAAGAGCTGCGAATCGAAGACTGTCGTGACTGGCTGCACTTTTCAGATCTCTTCTTGTGTTTGTGCACCACAAAAAAAGGGATGCAAATTTATTTCTTCATTTGCATATTTTAAGGAGCTCGATACGATATATATTTGCGCCATCTTTAGCCGACTCGCTTTCCAATATTCATGGGTCGCCTGCGAGGCTCCTTTGTGGCCAACCAATACCATACAATCCCATCTCTCACCCGAACCCTACGTTCAGGCTGCTTGATGAAACTTTATGAACTTTGGCTTTGCCGCTGCGAGTTTACTATAAATTTTCAGGCCCGCTTGCCTGATTGCCTCTGTCGTTGTTGTTCTTGTTGTTGCTGTTCTTTGTCCCGCATGTAAATTGTATCTGTATCTTTACAATTGAGCGCAATCAGCGAAATTGTAACGCAGCTCGTTTTTTACCAGCTCCAATGTTGTCGCATCCGAATACCCAGCATCCAGCTACTAGCCCAAGCCGATCGGAACTGATCCGCCAGCTCTGTCGCACCAGAGCCGTAAATTTCACATTTGCTGCGAAATCAAAAATGTTTTAATTAAATTTTGGAAGAAAGATAGCTTTGATATATTTTTTATAAATGTGAATTGTAGTTGCCTTCAATGTTATATCTATAAATTATAATACATTCATAAGTAAAGTTTCAAGGGGTATGGAGTATATAGCCGATATTATTCACATATATTATTTAACATAGAAAATGGGAATAATAAAAAAACAGATTAAGATAACACTAATACATAAATTTCCTATAGACAGGCCCTTATTATTACAGCGTGGCAAAAACTAATTCTTAGTAAAAATTTGAAATATAAGTTTCCTTGGTTTTAAAATGAATTTTCGAACATACAAACAGCAATCAAATTTTATGCAATACAATTTAAGAATAGTTGTGAAATTTCAAAAGATTTAAATATAATAGAAAAGGTTATTTTTCACATATTGAAACATGAATAAGTTGCTTTAAATATACTTATAAGCTAAGAATAAATAATGCTACATATATTATAAAAATAAATAAATAATTGTAATAAAAAGTAACGACAATTAGAAATGTAGAAATAAATATGCTCAATATGTTAGGGTACAAGTCACATTTAAATAACCATACATTCTCAACATAGACTTTAAAAATTGCGTATTCCAGTGAATTGAAAGTGGGCATAAAATTATGCGTGAGCCCCGCATATCGCTCGCGGGTTTGAGACGGCTACAAATGCGGAGTTTTGGCCAACCATAAATCGCATTAAAATGCAGGGCATATCCTTATTGATTTATAATTCGAGTTGGAATCGACTCGGCGACACTCACTAATAACTCATTTAAGGCGAACGCCGTGCGAGGAATCGAAAGCGATTATGCAAATGGTTGGCGGCGGGGGTAAACGCATAGAGGAAAACGCGTCACGCATCCCATAAATATCTGCGAATGCTTCTAATAATAGCACTGCCAAGGACCGGCAGTTGGGACTCTAATGAAGCGTCAGCAATTGAGGAACCATTCGGATGGCCGCCATCGGCTGCAACGGGTATGGAAGGAGGATTCGCATGTGGTTGGGCCCCAGACTGAGGGCTGCGTTGGGTTGCGTTTTTAATTTTTAATCTGGCAAAATTTATTTCACACTCGTTGCATGCAACTCACCCACACCTCTTCGGAATGTGCAATTGTGCCACCGACTTCCGGGCGTATTTATGAACGGTGCGCCGAGAGGGACATTTGAGCCATATTGATGCGGCCATGTTGGCGTGGCCAATTGAAACCCAACTCGGTTTTAATTTCAGTACGCTTTTCATTTTATCCTGCAGTGCCGTAAATAATACAATTACTCATCTGCATTGCAATCTACTGATAAAATACTTAATTGCCCTTTTACTTTTTTCGTTGTTGTTTATTTCTGCCGCCGTTTTTTATGGAAAAATCGAATCGCATATATGCCACCGCGCATAAATTCTTGAATATATGTATATATTTTCCATGCGCTGATGCGAAGCTTGATAAATAATTTAATCGAAATTTTTTCCATTACACAGCACAACTAAAAGTATAACGAAAATAAAAAATAAAATCACGCACTTCATTTAATTTTAATTTATAATAACGCCGTCGCCGCCAGCTCCCTGGCCGACCCCAGTCATGTTGTTATACCTAGCCTAGCTTCAGGCCATTTCCAGCACGGCTCTAGCTTTGCAAGAGTCTCTCTCTAGCCCGCCCATTGCTGGCGATCTCATCTTACAGCGTTGCATGTTGCAGTTATTTTTATAACTAAATTATATACGCCCGTCTTGCAGCCCACGAGCGTGGCTCAGTCTCATTTCCCAGTCTCACAGTCAGCTTTGGAGAAACCAGCGCTGGCTCGGGCCTCTGTTTCCTGGTCGATTTATGGCGCACAAGGAGCGCGAAACCATAAACAGCTTTTATGGCGTTCTACTGGATTATGGCCGGCCAGCTAGCCCAGCCTCAGTTTCAGGCTTAGTCCCAACGAAACTCCTCCCTGCCAGTGATCCTTTTTGATTTAATCAATTCGATAAATTTGTGGCCCACGAGCAATTGTTTTGCCTTTATCCGCACTTTTCGCGTCGAGTTTCAATTACATATCCAAGTTGTTGGGCCACTTACTTCATGTACGGCAAATATTTGATTCTTACAACCCAAAAATATTAAAAATGCGTTGAAAGCACATTGAGTTTATACATAAGCTAAGAATCGAGGTGCCATTTAGTGAAAAATACGCTCGGCAGCTTGACTTAAGATAAAATGACATCTTAACAAATACATTTAAAACAATTAAAAGATTAAATGCAGGGTAACAGAAGAGAATAAGTACAAGCTTTTGGATGGATAAGGTGAAAAATAAAGGTTAAAAATAGTCTAAAAAATTTAATGTAAAAATAAGCATATTAAAGTTATACGCATGCATTTGATGGAGATGATTTAAGACAAGAAAACACAGTTAAAATGACAGCTTCAAAAAATTCTAAATACAATATGAAAATCAATGGAAAGAGAGAAGATGATTGTCAAATAAACGATCTTTACATTAAAGCTTTCTGGTTGATTAAATGCAAGATAAAAGCTCAATAAACTAAGTAAATCTCGAAACTATTGACAGCTTTAGTCATATTTTTTCGTTTTCTTGGATTAACCGTTCCTAAACTCTTAAGTTCTTAGCTTACTCTGCTTTAATATTCATTAAACTAAGTACCTCACAAGTCACTTCGATTATAAATTGCGAAATCGCCCCTTAGTACTTTATCTAAATAAGTGCAGTCTTTTGTGCTTCTGATATTTGGCGCAAAAACAAATAATGCCTTATGTAAACGAAATGCATTTATTGGCATATCTATAATGAGAAAAATGTACTCGAGACTGGTATTTATGTATGTATAAACCATTTGGTGGTCTCACTTCCGAGGAAAACTTTGAGCCAGTTACTGTTTGATGTTGTTGTTGTTGTTGTTGTTTGGTTGGTTATGGCATTGGTTGTCGTGTTGTTGTGCTATCCTGTTTTGGTCCCTGTTGCCCCCTTGGGTTTATTCATGACGCATAAATCTGGTCGACAACACTTTATGCGAATACACAAACAACACGCCACCACTCGCCATGTACTCCTCGTAAATTTCGCAAGAGCAACTTTTTTACGAAATTAAATCTTGTTACAACAACAGCAGCAGAGCATGTAAGCGACTCTCTCTATATGTATAAATATATACATATATGTATATATATATATAGATGTGTATTTGTATGTTCATGTATATAAGTACATACATATTTATGTGATGGCGTTGGTTACTACCCAAGTCGCCGCGCTGTCGTCTAAGGCAAAGTTTTTCGGAGTCTAATCTGAAATCTGGTCAAGCTTCGAGTGGTGCCAGTGGTGCGAGGGCGACGGCGAAGACGAAGGCGGAGGCGGTTGCCCGTTGGTGGGTGTGGTAACTTGGGCGTACGCGTGTTTATTGCGCTGTTGCCAGCCAGAGGCAAAGATTTAGCATTCGAGCAGCCGGGCCACATAAATTGGTGTACAGCGGCCCCAGCCCAGAAGGCATGGTGGGCGGACGCAGCTTGTGCCTGGAAATATATGGTGCTGGTCTAGGATGTAGGATCTGTGGTAGCACTCTTTGCAGCATTCAAAGTCAAAGTAACCAAAGTAACCAGTCATCGGATGTTGCATGTTGCTCTTGCAAAGGCTCCAAACGAGAGCATAATGAATGCGGTCAGCTAATTGTTAATGCACTCGCCATTATGGCCACACAGCGGCAACTCGTAAATGTAAAATGCATTTTAATTAACCGTCATATATTTCACTTAAAACATTTCAATGCAAATTGGCCCGCGTAACGGGGTGCTGGTTGGGGGTGTGGACCTAGGGTTTGCCTGCTGCTCGCCTGCGGGTCCAGCTCCGGTTCCATGAGCCTAGCTGGCCACATTAAATGTAATTATTTGGCACAAATTGCGTGTTTAGGATTAATTATGACATGGATAGGCTAATAATGCGCTTCAAAGTGCAAAAAAAAAAACAAAAAAAAAAAACAAAAAGCAACGACGTTTCAAATTATGTGCCGCTTTAAATGCGCGCTGATTGCCCGATCTCGTATTATAGAAATTAACCTCACATCCTAATGCGTGAGCTGAATTAAATAGTGCACAACTTTAATTTTTGGTACAAGTTATCAAATACTTATAGGAATATATGGTTCAGATATAAGTTGTTTTTATCAATAATAATAACTTTAAGGATTGTTTTTTAACGTAGTTTCTAAAATACTTTATGAATACAAAAATGTATTCCATAATAGGAATAGGAAAGAAATCATTAAATTGATTGGATTAACTGTTAATAATAATCTTTAATATATACAAATTGATATGTTTTGATATATGTTGTCTATAGGGTTCACAGCTGTTCATTATTAACTCAGCCGTTAATGCAAAGAAGGAAAAAATGTTTTCTAAAATTCCTATATCATTTTTATTATATACTGAGAGAAACCGCGGGCCCAAATCTGAACTGTCTTTTCATACACTCGTCTATTTATAATAAATGTATGTATTTAAAATAAATATGTAATTATGTGTTGTAAGTAATTTTAACTTAACCGAAACATAAAATTGCTACATTGCCATCAATTTTCAGGTGTACACATCATTAAAAGCACAAGATGAGAATATGTTAAAGTAAATAAAGAATAAAATGTGGAGAGGGAGAGAGAGAAAGGGAGGGAGATAGAGAAAGACAGAGAGACAGAGAGAGAGAGAACGAGAATAGATATAGATAGATTGTAATATAACAATTAAATTAACGAATGAAAACCTGTAGGGTTTACTTAAATTCGTGAGAATCGCATAGTAAGGCATACGTTATATTTAATTTGCAACGCGGCGCGGATCTATTAAAAAAGGGATGAAAACTTGTTCTGCGTTAAAAAAAGGTAGCATAAATGGTATGTGCATACACATAGATACATACTCACAGAAACGTATACCTTAATAAATAAACATACATACAAAAATATATATTGATGTGTGAAAATGCAAATAAAGTCGATCTCATGATAAACAAAATGTTGTAACTCTTCGATGAAAAAACGCATTATATTCTTTCATTTTAAAATGGTCCGGATTATAAAATGAATATGGACTTTAATGCAACTGAATGGGCTCGCAAATGCATTTCCGCATGATTTGCGCCGCGAAAAATTGATGTTGGCCCCCCAACACCTCGAGCAAATTAAATTCATTTAATTACGCAAATGTATTCATGTTCATGTAACGCCTGCACTCGTTAATTTTCAGCGTACATGAAACCCGACACTTGCTATTGTAGAGGTGCATGGGGAAGAGAAGCTGGCAGACACAGTCTGCTCTCTCTATAAAATGCACAGGTCAAGTTGCTGCAGCAGGGATTGAATTTGGTCGTTGCTTTCATACCACAGCTGTTGCCAGAGGAGGCTTTTAGGAGCTCCGTTTGGACAAGAATCCAATACGCCCATCATAAACAGAGTGTCTGGGCAGATCGGAAAACAACTGTGTGAGGCTTATGGTATGAACCTTGGGAATAATCATTGTTTTCAGGCTCGACTTTCACATTTCTCTAATTTAAAAAATCAGGTTGCATAATATTCTGCACCTTAAAAGATGAGCGCAAAAAATCAATCATAATTATGACCCTGAGTGAGCAACAAACCAAGTCAAGGTTAACCATAAGACTTACGGCAGGTTTTCAAATGCATTTGCAGCTCATTAAAAACGCACAAGTGCAGCCAGAGAAGAGACGCAGACGATCAACAGCTGAGTGAATGTCTCGGACTCGCTCTAGCAAAGGTGAGACTCGCACCTTTTTTTTTAATGGCCGCCGGTGCTGATGAGTTGACCTTGGCTCGAATTTTAAACGGAAATTTTGAGCAGACGTTTTTTACGATCTTTTTATGGCGTTTGCCAAAAAATTAACAAAAAGAAAAATAAAAAAAATATATATATGTATATATATTCCCGCCGCGTTTCACGGCGCGTAGCAAACTGTTTTGGATTTGGTTTTTTAGCTGCAACCTCTGGAAATTTATGATTTATGATGATGTCCGTGACCCTTTAGCCAACAGGCAAAGATCAGCATCAGGCATAGGATCGGTTTAGGGATCGGCGGCTGCTGTTTTGTAAACACTCAGTATGAATCCCCGTACCCAGCCGCTTGGACGATACGGATTCACTAAAAAATAACTCGCGACGGCAAAGCATCAATACGTAAATCAGTTAAAAAATGTGAAGTTCTGCACAAAATATGAAAAATATTAAAAAACATATGGCACACGGATCCATAAGAAATGTCGCAAATAGTGTATTCGAGTGCATAAGCAACATATATGTTCAAACAGTGCATGCATTTTTGAGCATCTGGCTTCATGAAAAGTGATTAAAAGAAACGAGCTAACAAATTGAATTATAAAGGAGATTTAGTTATCAAAAGGCAAAAATTAAATTGTGGATGTTACATACAACTTGATATTGGCAGGCACATACTTAATTAAGTAAGTGGTCTTTTGAACACAGTTTAATCCCTATTTTGTTTTTTAATATAAATAGTTTGGTAATTAAGATAAAAATAATGCTCATAAGAATCATTTTAGGTTATTTAATTCGTACTCTTACCAAAATATAGTAAAGTATGTTTATTTTTTTATTACTGGAAGTCTTTTTTCGGTATTTTAAAAGGGCAAATCAGCTTGATTCGAGCGAAACACGTGTTTGCTTTATGCCAACATGAGATTGATTCAAAATAAAAGTGGTATTCGTATGGTATAGAATTTTATCTGTGTCAATGAGTTCTTGAGTCTTTTTTCGGGACTAAATTTGAGAAGCATTGTAAGCTTAAAAATGAACGCAAAAGTGGGTAAAGGAATGTAATCCTGAAATAAATCATGGAGGTAGCAGATTCATCAGATCCAAGCGCGACTCACATCGCATCTGATTCTCATGCTGTTTCCGCGGAATACGCAGTGGTCCATCCGTGAATACTTTCAGGCAGCTAAAAAAATATGAAAAAAACCAGAAAAGACACAGAAACTAAAGAAACATCTTAAGAGAGTAATAAACAACATGGTTGACAATCTTAAATCTTGCAACTTACAGGGCACCGCAACAGATACAGATACGAATGCGAATGAATGTCGCAGCCATTACGGAACGTTGTTGTTGTTGTTGTTGTTGTTGCCGCTGCTGCTTTGGACATTTCTTTTGAGTTGGTTGTGCGACCAACACAATCACAATTCCAACAATACCCAATGTCTGCTGCGGTCATTGCTATGCTGGAATGCAGCGGCAGCAGCAACAATAACAACGAGTCAGGCCAGTTTAAAGGCTTGGCCTGTCCATGCCCGAGCACAGGCCCAACCCGGGACCCCAGACCAAGACCAAGACCCAGACCCATGGCCCATGTCGCTTAGGTAGAAACAGCGCAGCACTTACCCGTTGCCAGCTCCAATATTGTATTCTTCTGGGCCTCGGACTGGGCCTTGTTCTGGGCCAGCTTGGCCGTTGCTTTGCTGGCTTGTTGTTTGTCTCTTTTATGGCTTCTTTTCGTACCTTTTATCTCTATCTGTGATAGCAGCCAGATTTTTCTTGTTGTTTTTTTTTTCCATTTTCGTTTCATTTGAGGTCACATTTTCGTGCTTTGCAGGTAAAAGGCAAGAAGAAATGAAATTTACCCCTTGCGGATATCGTGTGGCAGCGTCTTCATCGTAATGGCTGATAAGCGGCACGCACACCTGAGTTATGGCTGCCACATCGCAGCCCATTAAGCTAGCCAACCCGTTAAGCCAGACCATAATTGGTGGCAGATACATTGCCCGGCCTGCCCCTTACATGGCCAACTGTTTAACGACTTTTTAAACACTTGTGTTTTCATGCAGTTCTAGAGACATAAAGATTCAATGAAGAATGACATAAAACACACACACACACGCTCACACACATCTTCTGGCAGACACAAAAGGCGTTTGGCATTTGATGTTTATTTAATTTACCGCAATTCATAACAATTGCGTTTACGACATTTTTACAGCTCGAAAGAGCCGTAAACAAAACGCCGCCACCGATTTGTTTGATGCCACGAGCCGGCGTCTCCGTTTGGCTTTATGAGCCACCTTGGCATACTGAGCTGCCACCCCGCTCCGGTCCGGAATCAGCTCCTGGGCACTGCACCGCTCTGGGCCAACGGCAATTAAACACCAAGTGCAGCTAGCAGCCGCCTCTGTTCGTCACATACCCCGTCTGAGCACCCGCTCTACAACAATTTATGTGCGTTTTATAGATCGTAAAAGCAACACTAACAACAAGGCCGTTGATTTTATGATGTGTTGAATGGCAGCCAGTGTCAGGATGACTGCCACGGCACTTGTCATCATCCAATGTGAAAGTTTGCTTTGGTGTCTTTTTGAACTGGGTTCCTGATTGGGCTCAAGTGCATGAGCCATCGTAAAACTCCGGCTAATGCCTGAAAGAGCCGTAAAACGGCTATAAACAAAAGTGTTTGCCCAAAGAGCCGAACGAGACAAGCGCCATTAGGAAAATATTTGTGTTACTTTTGTTCGGTTTGTAAACAATTTAATTTAATAAGAATAATCGCTTGTTACCCCATAAGAGAAGAAGCAGTAAAATCGCTGAGCATATGGCTGGAAGATGTCTGGTCAATTGAGTCATAGAATTCGACTTGGATTTATGATGCAGAAAGAAACTATTGCATATCAACAATCATATTAATGTAGTAAAAAAAGGCTTTCCAACGTTTTGAATTGCAAAAGAGATGACAAAGTGTAATCTATTCCCAAAAAAAACCTAACTCCAACTGTTTTATTTGCCTTAAAATGACCTTTTGTTTTCACCTTTTGTTGGAGCTTAGAATAAATGAAAAATATGGTAAATATATGTGTAATATATATATTAAGGTTAAAATAATTGTGAGCTATATGTTGAAATAAGGATGACTTAAATAACATTAAATCAGGCTCAAATATTCACAAAAAATCTATTTGATAAATTATATGTTAATAACTTGTCTGTAGATCATTTTCAAAATTAAATTCAACCTTGTCTTCAAAACAAACTCTAGTTCGCAAAAACAAACTCTAGTTCGCAAAAACAACAAAGCATATACATCTTTATGCACATATTTATATCCACATCCATATCTAAATCGTGGCCAAGCTCCATTATTAAGCCAGCTGAAGACGTGTTGATGAGCAATGCCATTTCTAGTCCCAGTCCCAATCTCAAGCCAAACCCAGACCCACAGCCATAACCAGTCCCAACACGGAGCCACGTAATATACACGGCAGACAGAGAACAATTGAACTAATGACGTGACTATGGACAATCGGCATGGGTCCGTTGTTCATTCGTCCATTCGTACGCTTGGTCATTCAGCAGACTGGCCAAGTTTCACTTGGGGCCAGCGTCTGGTCAGTGCCTCATTGTTATCATTCGGTTTGGAATGGCGACGGCAACCGTTGAGACTTATGCATCGAAAGTGTTGTTAAATTACGCCAAATTGCTTAATTCCAATAATGAAACGGACCGGCCCAGCGCCTCGGACCCGACCACTCAATGAAATTATAAATTTTCGGTCAGCTCGCTGCGTTCAAGTGATATGCAAAGCGCATGAAAATGAAGTCTCGACTGCGAATTTAATTTTTTTTTATTTGTTTCTGTTTCTGTTTCGGTTTCTGTGTCTGTTTTCGGTTTCGGTGGATCGTTCTGGCGGCGATCGCACCTCATTGCGAACGCCTCAATGTGCGAGACAATTTCCAGCTCCGATCCCGACCAGACGGCGACGACGAGGGCGATGCGAAGGGAGCCCATTAATGGGCCAATTCAATTGGTCGTTAATGTTGCTTTTTATTTCGCTTTTATTGTGCGTCTTTTTGTTGTTTTTGTTGTTGCTGCTGCTGCTGCTTACTCAATTTTATTATTGTTTATTTATGCGATTTTAAATAATGCGCAGCAATTCCAAAAGATAAGACGCTGCCTGTGAACTTTTTCTCATTTTTTTCTTCTGTGCACATTGATTTACTGACATATTATTTATTAGATGGGCGCGGGTTGGCGCTGGACTCTGGAATAGGTTCGGCAGTTCCAACTACTTTGGTAATATTTTATTGAGCAGCATTTTGTTTGTTATTTTTTGGCGCCCAAACAAAACATTTTAAGCTTTTTGTACGTTTTTTTAGCGTGGCAGATAAAAGCAAACAAATTTCAAGTCTTTGTTAAGTTTGTTTATTATTTATTGCCGCAGTTATCGTGGGCGTATACACAATATTTTATAAATTTTCTAATTTTATTTGTGTTGGAACATCGTGGGTGGCTTGAATAGACTTAGATGAACAAAAGGAAACTTCACGACTGTCGAAACAGTCAAGATTTGAAAGCGATTTTCATAAGCCACAGGATTAGAATCATTTTTGATATTTTAATAATAAAGGTAAAGCCAGTATAATGTGTTATTTTTAAATTCAAAAGTCTTCTTAGTTTTAGTTTACTCTTTGAGAGAGGAAAAATTTCTCGACAGAGTTAAATAAAATAAATAAAAATTAAATAATTTAATGCAATCGAATGTTAAGTTAAAAATAGAAAGGTTAAAGTTTAAACAAAATTGAAATGCCAAGAAAATTAAGATAATTTTCTGAATGGTAAATAAAACTTTTATGGTTGCAATACAAAGAAAAATGAAAATTTCGTATTTGTTACTGAGAGTATTTTATTGGTATATGCATATTATGTACTCCTTAAAATGATTAATGGGGACGATAAAATCGCATGCAATATAATAAAATATTAATGCAAAAATTGAGTTCATTTTGGTATTTGATTGGCCAACGTTTTTGTATATATTAAATAGTTATAAATTTCATCTAGAGAACAGCTTCAACTGTTTTGTAGTTTTTGTTGCGATTTGATCAACCATTTCTATAGATCCATAACAAAGTTAGCGACTCACGTCCTTTTCATTGTTCGGTGAGCTCCAGCATGGTTATTGCTTTTGCTGTGACTGCCGCTGGGTCAGAGCAAGTCATTCGCTGCGGAGGCGTTTAATGTACGTCAACAACAACAGCAACAAAAACAAGGTCCACAGCAATTGTGAGTTGGTCTGGTGACGTTTGTTGCCACTTTATCATTGTCGAGTATCATAATTTAAGCGAATCGCATGCAAACAGACAGAGAGGCAGACAGACGGGCAGACAAATGGACATACAAATCGTTACTTACACCCACACTCGCTATGTTGTTGTCACGCTAACAACAACAACAACAACTGCAATGAATAAAATTCGTTGACATTCGTTGCGCTGACTAAGCGGCAAATGAGAAGCGCAGAGAAGGGCGGAGTGCAGGGAGTGAACGTGTGCATTCTTGGCTATGCTTAGATGCATATGCTCACCCGGGGAATGGACAACACTCTGGCTACGCCTTGCGCCTCACGCCCCCTTTGCCCAGCAACACTCACTGCTCAAGTTCGGTGCAGTCAATTTGTTCC